AAAAACCTACTGCAAATAACAGTTTAGGTTTTTCTGCTTATAAAATGACGGATAACTGTCAGCAACATATAGGCATACCGTTTTGCTATGTACTTTAAAAGCATCCACTATGCGATGATAGTTTACCTCAAAGCTACACCAGTATTCATTCTGTGAACGAATGGTAGGTACGTTATGTCTAAAGTTTGCTCTATTCCGTTACTGAAGCGCGGTAGATTGATCTACTCACCACCCACCACCGAAATATCCAGAAAATCGAATTCTAATTTGTTCGTAAATTACAAGTAATCAACTCAAAAGCTATTGTTCAAACAGTAATTATTGTAAGTTCGCTACAAGCCTACAATTTTCGGGTTTCCGGAGCAAAACTTACAACATACCAAACCAAAACACTAAGAAACCGAGAATGTTCAGGTTCAAAATTCTAAAGGAACAAGTCCAAAATTGAGTATAACAGTTATATCTATCCAAAACGGTGAAAATGTAAGTATTCAATGTAACAGTTAATCATCAGTTAAACGCTTTCACTTCCTCCTGTATTGGGTATCGACACCCTTGCCCATGATAAATTATATTTAGGAGTCATTTAGTGCCAAAATATATTATTTCAGTTATAATTCGAAGAGTACTTTGAATTAAGCCTAATTGTAAGATCGATTTTGAATGTTTTGTGTGTTTGTGAAAATCCCTCCATGTGCATACTTGACCTTTTTTCTATTGATCCCTTTCATTGTACATTATTAGTTTTTGATTACATTTGAATTGTTAATATTTGTATTTTACTGTGGTTTTTGTTCTTACTACACCTTCACTAATTCCTCGTGTTTCTTCCCGATCTGCACTTATGTTGTTTTACTTTATACTAAGTCTTGGAGTCAGCCATATTGGTTTGTTCCTGCTTTTGATTGCTTTACTTGTGTTGACTGGAATTGTGCAATTTGTTTGTGAGGTGAAGCACTCTTCCAGAACTGAAAACACACTGTGTTATAGAGCGACCAATTATTACCTTTTGAACGAATCTGTACGTGGTCTATCCAGACAGGATAGAATGACATTTATTTGTTGTGATTGGTAATTTCCTTGCATCCTTTAACAACTTTCTTATTTATTGTAATTTAGATTTAATCAATTGAACAATTATTGGCTGGATAGCTGAGTGGTTATATTTGTTTAGGTAATACTGTACACTTAAGTTCATGATAAATTATAGAACCGTCATCGTACCCAATTACTTTGTTTTGGTTTCAAACGGGCGAGGGAGTGTATCTAACTCATCCAGACAGCTGTCCATCAGTCCAACCGTAGTTTGGATCTTACACTCATTATTGGTGTCTTTTCATAACTTTGATTTTTCTCTGATTGTACAAAAGCGATTATAGTAAATCTAACACTCTTGCTGCTAGAGGGAAATAACCTATATTTGACTACGGCAATTGTGATGAATTGTGAGTAACAAGCAAATAAAATACGAAAATTAACGTTTAATAACCAAAATCAACTACAGAGTGGAGAAGTAGCGATTCCAAAAGTAACCTCATCATGCCTCAGAAAAACCTAGAACTTATCTTTTATCAGTGTCACATCTCTTGATACCAAACTTTAACTTCACCCAACAAATACCTGCACATTAATATGCACAATACTTTGACCACACACCAATTTCTTCATAAGAAAGTTTTATGGACTAACCTCTGTAACTAGGTTGTCATCCCTCATTAACTGTCCATCTCGTGTTCAAAGCTAGCTGATATCCAAAAAATGTGTGATAATAACTATAGCTACAACGCACAATCAATATTTGTGACATGAAGATCGATCTAATGTCATCTGAAGGCAGACATAAGTTGAGAGGATGAAGCCTAAAAAATATGGATTCTCACATGTGATATTCTTTACCGCTAACCAATTAGGAAAACATTCAACAAATACGCACAAGTTATTGCGTTTGGTAGAAAGAACAGCTCACCATTTTTTTTCTAAAACGTACGAAAGTGACGACAAATTGATGCGCAACTTTACAAAAAACAGGACCTCTTGTCATTAAATACACTGGATGCATGTTCTAAGACCAGTCACACCTCATACTTCATTGTCCTAAAAATTAACGGGTACAAGTTCGCCTTACTGTCACCAAGTGGGACTCTAGGTTTTACTTACAACGTCCGGCATCTCAAAGACAATCAAAGTCTGTCAAATACCGAACCTTTTTAAATCACTAAGGCAAAGAGGTGTTCGAATCCAAATTATCCTGCAGTTTCAAGGACAATCCAAACCATGAGGACGCCAACAACCTATGAGCTTGCAAGTAAACATTTACTTTCGGCTTACGAGTCGCTTTTGATTTCATATTTTTCACCAAGGAATAGGGTTTAGATTCTAGATCATGCGGCACAGTAAGCATTTGTTTCCACTGTTGTCATGTATCTTATAAAATGAATGCTATAATATGGTTGCTTCTTCAGACTCTGTGTAGCATGAAGAATGAGCTATTTGAATTGATCTTTACATACATAGAAGTTTAAACTTTACTCTGTTGATGCCTAAAAGTGGTTATCACTTTTATGTAAGAAGTTCGCGGTAGAGATGACAAAAGTGCTTGGATCGATGACTAGACGTACTTGATTTATATTAATGGATTTGAATTTTAACTGAGAAAGATGAAAGAATAACCACAAATATGGTCATGATTTGTCGAGTGGTTCACAGCCGTTTTCGTTTTTGAACCACTTAAAGGCTTTATCTCAGCTACTTTTGAAGAACATACGACCACAGGCTGTCGGACTTCAAAAGCACAGAAGAAGTCACGTAGTCTGTTTTGTCAGATTAGGTAACCAAGTTTAATAAAGGGAAACCTATTAGCACAAATCAAATAGATAGGGGGAACTCGGAGAAAAATTCCAACTTTTGATATGAAACCCGGTTGTGAAAATGAATAGTTTAATTAAATGCTATACGTGACGTTCAACTGAAAGTAATGGGAACATCAAATACCAGGACAGTCCAGTTGCAATACATAAAGATTTCTAGCTAAGTTCATAACCTTTGTAGCGTGGCGTCGAGTCGCGATCAACTACGAACGCCGCTACAGAGAAACACGCGCCTGGATATCCACAAAATCCCGCGGAAGCCAAATATCACAAAGCAATTAATGGACCAAGTCGAGATATATTTGCTGGCAATCTCGGGGTATTGAAAGAATACCGATATCGTGCCAGGATACAAGCCTGGTTACAGAGCGTAACCGAATTCGCGCGAGGTCACAATCAAAGTGTAAGAGTAATGGATATTTTTTTAGCACAGTTAAACAAATAGCACATTAAACAGTCACTGGCACAATTGGTTTTAATAATAATTGTTTTCAATAAACCAGTCGTGTTCTCGTGATAAAAGAGTCACTACACCTTTTTAACAGTTTTATTGACTTCTAGACACATATATGATGTTGCCTGAATACACAAATATGCTGCTTGTCCCCTAAAGCACAATAGGTTGTTTGTGATTATCCGAGGAGCCTGTGTTCACAGTAGGAGTACAAACGTTAACTGGTATGGAAACTCAATACTTCTTTTCTCTAGGAATCAAATTATCCGATATTAAGAAAAATATTGTCTTATCACCTTAGATCATACGACTACTCCGGCTGGCTCTAGATTATCACACAAAATCTATGACTCTGGAGATTAGTCAGTAACATCGTTCCACCTAAGAATCCGACGACGAAGATACCGATCTTGCATTGTAAGCTGATTGTTTGTATACATTAGTAGGTCGTTGACTTGAAAATCAGTACCACTTTAAGTCAATAGCCTTTTTGTCCAAGGATGTAAATAGATGAACCTGAGAGAGTTAATTTGACTAGCGCGTAGTCCACACCACGAGTTTATGAAACGGCAAGGATGCCTGAGTGTGTCTTTGGTTGATTAGGTCATAAAATAGAACGATATGGTGGAATCTCGAATATCTGTCGGGGTATTAACCTGAAAAATTGTTTATCGCAACAACGTGGTCGATTTATTAATTATATATTGGATACGTAACGTAGCTTCGAGCTTCAAATAATATGTTACTCTTCTTTAAGTAGATCATGAAAGCTGATAGATTGAACTAGGTGGTCTTCAGAGTTAAAAATAAAAACCACCTTATCTGAGTATTGGTTCGTCGAACGAAATAATTATATATTATAACTTTTTGCCAGAACAAAAGATGTCAGTAATTTAGATGCTAAAAATATCAGGGTTAGCTGAAAGATGAATAAGAATATAGACATACGCCTCCGACTACCTGTAGTAAACCAGAAGTTATAAGTAAGCTCTATGGGAGCAAGATACATGTTCGTGAATTTATGGCGTGTAGATCACTAATGTAAATGATCTATGCTGTATGATTGGGGACCTACTAGAGTTAAATGCGAATGTTGTGACCAATAGCTAACTTCAAAGTTGTACCCTTCACTCAGCACCTAACGTGGATTATCCCTCCGTCATATCAAGGTAATATGGTTGCTTTGATACCGTAAAACACAAAGGATGTTATTACGGAAATATAATAGTAAGAATGGGTACAGAGAAACTAGTGCGACTACCACCGCACATGCAAGTTCATGGAATGCGATTAACTGATACGCGTTAGTTGTCTTTGACATTGTCGGGGGCCGATAAACTGTTCGACATTCAGTGACCCAACTACCGGATTGTTTGTCCAATGCTCAATACCAATGCAAAAGCCCTTCACAAGCAGCTTCATTTCATTAGACAGTTTGTGTGAAATATCCAGCATTTTTGCACTTAGTTAGTGAACGGCTGCTGAACGCAAGAGGAGAATCATTGATGAGAGATTCATTTCAAGATTTTACTTCACTTTACCCATTATTTTAGTTCGGTAAGAAAGGATGCAACGGCATCATGTACTCAGAATACATGACGAAATTTTTGATGATTGAACTGAGGTCTCCGTGAAAAATTAGCGACTTATGTGCGATAATTATTTGCTTAGTGAATGAAAAAATTATCAAAAGTGATGGATACCAAAAGTTTATTGAACATTTTATGTTCAATACATGTCAGTTGTATATTGGACATTAACTTCGAGTATAAATAGTTTTCTGAGGGTTGTACGGAATTTGTATTGGGATTGTAACGTGCAGTATGAGGATGTTGGGTTGGTTCTGCGCTGTAATACTGTTCACACTGTTCAGTTCTGAGTTAGTCGAGTCGAAATTTAAACCGCGAACAAACGATAAGGTATTTTACTTACAACTGGAAATATTTTCCTAGGACTTAAGTAATTCACCACATACCCATGAAGGTGAACACAGTGCAGCATACGATCATGATGCATTTCTGGGGAGAGACGAGGCCAAGAGATTCGATGATCTAACACCGGAAGAAAGCAAACAAAAACTGGGGTATTTAACGTTTTTCTTTATCCTACATAAGAGCGTTTTACGCAGACTTGCTTATTTTATTGTTAATATTAGCGTTCATGTTTTTATCTGGCATGTTTGCTAGTCAGTCGCTTTTACCTGTCCCGGGTTATATTCATAAACTCAAAACGTCTTATAATCGAAATGTCTCATTTTCTATGGACTAAACCAGAGCTGTAAACAATTGTTTATAGTTAGGACTTTCCTAATTTTCATCGAGTAACATTATTGGTGTACATCATCATGTGATGAGATTTGGCCTCATACTGGAGTGTGCCCCGGTGTACAAGTTTCGCGTTTAGTGTACAGCCATTATTAAGCAGGCTTACTGGCTGAATCACTTCGGTTGTTGGATCAAAACTGTTCATAACTTACGCTTCATAGCAACCCCTTCAAACATATGGTTGGGCGCATTTTCTGACCAGGCACTTAGTATTAGTCCGTCATGCTCAGGAACGATGGATACTCCGTTCTCGGTCTTCAAAAATAAACATTGCACGAAACACAAGATTTTCTGATAGCTATCATCGTTCAACGGTTTTAAGTTTCTGAATATTATTTTTCAGTGAGATTGTGGACAAAATTGATTTAAATAATGATGGTCAAATCACTTCCGAAGAAATGACTGTATGGATTAACAAAGTATCCAGAAAAATGCTCCTTGATGATGTTGATCGCGCTTGGAAAGATTTTGAATTGCTAGACGAAGACAAGTTGCCATGGGAGAAACATGTTGACGAGCTGTTTGGTGAAGACGGAGATTTAGAGGGTACGTTAACTTCTCATTTATTTTATACACTATAGGTCTATCGTCTAACATACATTATGTCCAGATTCATTTCTATCTTATAACAAAATTTTAATTGTATTTTCAGATGAAGATGATGAAACAAAGAAAGCCTATTCTGAAAAAGACAAGAGGCGTTGGATGGCTGCCGATGCAGACGGAGATGGAAAGCTATCAAAAATAGAATACTTAGCATTCCTTCATCCAGAGCATGAACCAAAAATGCGAGATGTCGTTATAAAGGTTAGCCCTGTGACAAACGATAAAAACAACTTGTATTTACTCCGCAATCATACGCTTACTCAAAAATACCCTATATTCACTTGCGAATAATTCCATAACATTCAGGTTATTTGGAGCAGTGTATGCTCTGTGGATTATGGTAATTCTATTTAGACCGTAATTTATAGTTTTTATTAGCCCAAAAATCCATGTTGGACCTACTTGAGCCTATCACACCTCATGGAGAAATAGTAGACCTCCCAACCTGGATTTTCCATTAAACACAGTCCTAAATAATGTTTTCCAGTTGCTATTCGTTCATTTGATATCCACTTCCAATTTCTAACGCAGCGTGTTCCTTGGTCTTCTTTTTGTCCCCCTTCACGATCCCTAATTAGCATTTGTTTAGTGTTCTATTCACTTCAAACGTCGTTTTCTAATTTCCTCTTCAACTGGAAGCTGGTTCGTTCTCTGCTACAGTAGGTTGTTGCTGATGGCATCTGGTCAACGAACATTGAATACATTGCGTAAAACATTGTTTATAAATAAGTAAAAATCAATAGACTGATGCAGAAACTGCTGCTACTCCGCATACCTCGACCCTCATTTGTTGGTGTGTATGGGATAGAAAAGCTAGGTTATCTTTGAAGTCCAAATCGTCTAGTTGCATCTAAGCTGTACATTGTTTTCCATGCTTCAGCTGAAACGTGGAGGTCTCTTCACAATCCACCCGACCACGAGAAGACAGAGAAGGGGTGAGAGTAAGCAGCCTTGTCTGGCACAGATCTTCACTTAGAATGAGTGTCAGCCGTCATCTATGTACGACTTAGCAGTGTAGTTCGTCGTATGAATTCTGTTTGGTATTGACGGTTTTCCATGTTAATTTCTTCCTTGTGTCATATAGTTGTTTGGTATTTCCTTCTCTTGCTGCTTTTCACAGTCATTGCTAAGTGTTCTGCGTATTTCTGCTTGTTGGCCGTAATGCTCCTCTTCACCCTCTTGTTTATTTCTGTGTACTCGGTCTGTGACATGGTTTCCTCTGCTTGTTCGACTGCTGTTAATTGCTGTCTTCTTCCCCTCTTAAGTCTTGGTAATGGTTTCGACCGAGATGCATTACTTATGATGATGCTTCTTACGGCTTAGAATCTCCTAACACGTTGAAGTTAGTGCTTCTCTGATCCTCTTCCAGTTGTTCTCCATAGTAGTTCCCTCTTCTTTTAGTGGATCATGTAAGGCTTGAAATCCGTTTCTGAGAGCTATCTTGAATTCGTTGAGTTTGTCAGTATATGGAAGAAAGGCTATACAGAATTTGTTTAATGCTGAGTCTCCAGTTGTCCAGTGTTTCTTTAGCTTCAGTTCCTAATTGGTCGCAACCAGGTGGTGGTGATTTAAAGGTGTCAGCTTTTTTTCCTGGTTCTTCCATTTATCTTCTGGTTGTTTTAGTGATGTAAATATGATCGATCTAATACTCTGTAGTGTGATTTAGTGAGACCCATGTAACTTCGTATAGGAGTTTGTGTGGGAATATTGTCACCTTCAACCGTTTGGTTGAATGCACACAAATTTGCAAATCTTTCTTCATTCTCATTCCTTTTTCTTAATCAGTTCATGTTGTCTCATTATATCTTCCTATTTGGTATTGTCCATTCGGACCTTGGCGTTAAGGTCTCCCATCAGGATGGTCAGGTCCTTTCTTGGGCACCTCTCTATGGCCGACTTCAGCCTCTCATTAGACTGATGTTTACCGTCTTAACTGCTAACATTGGTGGGTCCATGGCACTGAACAACATTCATTGTGATCCCTTTTGTCTTTGTTTTCAAAGAAGGTTTGATTATTCTAGATCCGTGAGATTTCCATCCTGGAGGTGTTTCACGTGCTTTAGACAGCATCAGTGCAACTTCCTGCGCGTAAAACGTCATAATTCTGAATGAAAATCCTTCAACTTGGAGGGCTGAGTTTAAACAGTTTAAATTGTTTATTCTGATTAGCACTTTTTAGCAAGGTTGTTTTCTACAGGCTGGTGTTGCTGACCCCACGCTCAACCCTCCTCCTTTACCCGGGCTAGGGACCGGCAATAACCCTAGAAGAGCTGTAGATGTTGCTAAGTTAAACATATCCATGTAATTTTGTAATCGGTAGTAGTCGAGATGATTATTGAATAACTTGTTGCAAATGCTTGGGACATTTTTGTACTTCAGTGAGAAGTCCCTCAGCACTGAACCACAAACTAATCATTGCTTTTAAGACTCACAAGTTAGAGTGATTTCCAGTCAAATATGCACATTTATCTGGTCCAAATTAAACATATATGAATAATTATTATTGTCTAACACAAATACCAAGTTTATCGTTAAAAAAGTAAGCACAACAGCTTCAGTTTCATCTCTAATGTAAATAATTACTTCAAGTTACATTAAGTTTTTACACACTTTGTGGTTCAACTATTTTATTTGCTTTTACAAACCTAGGAAACAATGGAAGAAATTGACAAAAATAATGATAGCTTCGTTGATCTTGATGAATATATCAGTAAGTTTTCACTGTTGATGTATTTCTTCAGATTTTTATGTCGGAAATATTCGGTCATCAAAACTTTAATTGGATTGTTATTTTCAAACTCTATTTTTGGCTAAACTACTGATAATATAACTTTTAAGGTAGGCAGAATAAGCCTGTTAATGAGGTTGTAGATGTCCATTGATTTATATGGTTTTGTCCTTTTCTAGGTATTCTAAATCAACAAGGCCTTTATAAGTGAAGAACATCCGTAGATTGCTAGTATCTGACCATAAGTATCCTTAAAGCATATGACAGGATCAGCTGTTACTTAACAATATACGTGTAGAGTGCTAGGCAAAGATGGTGAGTCGACTGATAAGATAGTGGATCCTCATCAACCGACGTGGTCGGGACTACTTGCATTCAATCACCTCTTACTTTGACACTCGATATTTCTTGATGTAGCAGATTGAGGGGAAAATATAGGTAACCAATTCATGATACCGGTCCATGAAGTTATTTTTAGTTAGTTATGTTAGTGGGTGCTGATCATGTAGTTCAGGTCCGCGCTATTGTAGCTAATAATTGGGTTACAATCAGCCTCAGTGGTGCACATACACTCATTCTTTGTCTCTCCTTAAGTTCTGAGTTCCAAAATTATTTTGTATTTTTCATTCCCGCAAACTAGTTTTCGAATCACATTCTCTATGCTTAATTTGCTTTGCTAACACTGATATTACTACTTTCACTACGTTGATGTATATATCGTTATGTTCACGTGCCGTGGCGTGGCAATGTGGACCGATGCATATATTTACTAGTTTCTATATTGCTTTCGACTTTGTCCGCCCCTGATAGTAGTGGAACTAGGTGTAAGAAGGCTAAGGGTTATCAGGTTTATATGTAATACTGGTTTATGAAGTCTCTATCTCTTGGTTTAAATTGTGGTACAACTGGATAGGATCGCTAACAAAACCAGCGATCGAATACAAGTGCTGTGAAACTATTCGATCAAATTTAGACGAAAGTTCTTACGTATTATCCATGGTTTATTTCCCGATTCTTAAATATTTTACTACCTATTTCGACTAATTGACAGACTAATATTGTGATCAGTCGAGATTATCACGGGCTTTACCACTAAAGGTTATTCGTTAGTAATAACGGAACAATTAGGTATTTCCACTGTTAATCATCTTTAATACTGAAGTTTTATATGGGCGGGTAGTCAACTAAAATACTCGTTGAGTCTACAGATTGTCGCAGAAGGTACAGAAACTAGTTGAGCACATAATGGGGCAAAAAATTATCCAGTTGATTCTAAAATGGGAATATTTAAGTCAAACTTTAATGTCAAGTAGAATTAATTCTCTCACACTGATTAAATACTTGAGGGCTTTGGCCTTCAAACAGTATTTTTTCATTCATCTGACTACTGGTAAATTAGCTTGAAGAGTTAGTAAAGTTTTACGCTTCATCATTGATTTTTTATTGGTACTCTAAGTATCTTTATTCGATGTTTATTGGGAATTTGTCTTGTAGAAGATCTGTGGTCTCCGAATTCACCTAATGAAACGGAGCCTGAATGGGTTAAAACTGAAAGAGAGGAATTTGCCAAACGACGCGATATTAATGGGGATGGAAAACTGGATCTGGATGAGGTCGGCAAATGGATCGTACCTGAAGATTATAATCATATCCAAGCAGAAGTAACCCATTTATTCTCAGAATCAGATGCAGATCAGGTAGAGCTTATGTTGATTATTGTGCCTTCGTAATTTTTCGTAAATATGATCTCAGATATGACTAGTGTCTTTATAATACTTGTCAGTTTGCCATTGTAGGTTTTTGTTACTATTTATATCGAGAGACTTAAAAGGTAAGATGGCTCTTAATTGTTTTCCATGCTAATCGTAACCTTGTATTTTCCAACCAAAAAATTAGTTTAATATTGAACTCTGAAAATTTCCGGATCTAGAAAAGTATTTTCATTCGAATAACATGTGATAAATAGTATGTTATCCTTTTCGAGAAAGCCTTCTCTATGCTAGTGCCAGCAATATAGACTTGTACAATTATGACCATCCCCGTCATTTACAATGGTTACCAACTATCATTTTGTGTATGGGATACATATCGATCTAATTTGTTCTCGGTAGAAACAAATTTTACTCAAACTTTTATTTTGTCCAATATCGCGTATTTTTTAAAATTTCTGTTAATATTATTTAGGATGGAAAACTCAGCAAAAACGAAATACTAAATCGTTACGACTTATTTGTTGGTAGCCAGGCAACCAATTTTGGGGAAATCCTAATTGGTCATGATGAGTTATAACAATGTGAAATCTGTCAGTGAAGTAATCCGACAACCGATTGTCTGTTAAATATCATAAGGATCTTTTTCTTTTAAAAGTCTAACATTTTCTCGGTTTATAGTTTCTATCAGTTATTGTACGTTATTACCTCTATTGCATAAACACCGTTAATTCATATGTTCTTGTTAATCAACACAAACTTTCAAAAACACTTGATTAATCAAGTGTGTCAATAAAATTTGTTAAAGGTCGTACATTTTACAAGTGCCTATTCTAGCGCTTATTTTGTTTTTATCTTACAAACAATTTCGTCTATATTTTATTCTCGAGCTATCTGTTTATTTTCATGTTTTATACTTTTTAATCGTTTATTTGTATATGAATCAAAATAGTTTATTTGCCAGCTTCATTTTTAGTTGATCTCTTTTGTGCGCATGCTTGTCATTAATATGTTTTGTAATGTATAAAAATATATTATTGCTTTACATGTATTTATTTTTGATGTTCAAAAACATGACTGATTTACTCATTGGTTAAAGAAATCTAAGTTTAGTGTTATTTTCTCGATTATTAAAAACTGCTATTCGTAAGTAAATGCAAGTTTGGTCAATCTTGTGTAAGCTTCAGTTGCTCCCGAGATCATTTATAATTGTTGACTCTCATCCCACACCTGTATGTATTATTCCCATTATTTGTGATTGTTGAATCACTCTTAAACTAACAGTTTACTACTAAAGGATTTCACAGACTAATTAACCTTTACTTCCGCAGACAGACAGTCAATTATTTGACTCCCCCTCATATATCCTTGTTTTCATAAAATACACCCATGCTATGATAAATAATGCATCACGGTTGACAGTAACTAGTCGTGCGTAACACAGCTTCATCAACCAGCTTTCTATCTCTACCTAGTACCCTTCATCTGTCCTCCACATTACTCTTTTTTTAATTGCAACATATGCGGGCTAGTTTCATAGAACTAGTGAGTTATCGGTTCATGGAACGTGGTCATGACCTAAATCCAAAGTCTTAGTACTTGTGAAGTTGTACAATATATTAAGAAAGGAAAATTAGGTCCACTTAGTTCCTTTATATTTTGCCCGATTTAGAGTTAAGCTACTCATAAGTAGCTCACTATTTCTAAGGCGAAACATGGTTTTACTAAGACTGGAAATTATACCCTTATTGAGATGCGAATTTCCTATCACCACTGTGATAAAACTCACTTGTATTCCAATCTCATGTAAAGTTTTCATAAAACCATTTTTGGTTATGCGTTATTTAAAGTGATTTTTAGGTTTGTAAATATATATCAAAATGATTGGAAACGAATGCGGACTGAGATTGACTAAGGTAATAGTGAACCTTAGTTATCTGGTTATTTTAGCCAGTGTAAGAACTGTCGTGTTTGATTTATACCTAATTTTCATATAATTGTGCTAACATATATGAAAAGAATCGAAAAATGTGAGAACAGATGCTGTATTTTTCTTACATTATGACAATCTTTTCACTAAACGAGAAGACAAATTTAGAATTTATCTTAGAATTTGACAGTTTTTTGTCTGTATATCTGAATCATAATTGTTACACTGATATGGAAGGTACAATAAATACTATTTCGTTAGTCATTATAGGTGGCCTCTTAAAATTATTTCCACACTTAAAAAGCTTCAAACTGTGGCTAATGGGTACGAAATTTTAATTACTCCGAATAATATATATGTAAAAACGCCCCCAAATGCCCTAGTATGGCCGGGAGTGGGGTGGGCCCGTCCTGTCTCTCGAAATTCTCTCACACGGGCACACGTATACAGCCTCTGCCAGAGATGTCCTACTCACTGCCTACTCGTGGCGAGGGTGCTGTTTACGGAATTAAGAGGACGAAAAGCGGATGTCCGGCGCTTTAACCGGATTCCAAACCAATGGTACACATGGGCTCCAGTATCCTGCGGGAACAAATGGCCTATGAACCAATCGTTGGTCACTGGCTACCATGGGACTGCATCTCCTTACGATGCTCCACTGCCTTATGAGTTAGACCTTTGGTCAAAGGCTCGGGGTGTGGCCCCCAAAGAAAACCACTTTCTTCGGTTTGGACACCCGGGCAGTATCACAGCCCTCACACAAATCGAATGATTCATGTGGCGTATATCTACTTGGTGCCTCCTTGTACCAATGTTTATGTGTTTAAATAGATAAATAAATAATGTAAAAACAAGTATATATTATTAATACCTATGAAAGTAACTGACATTTTAGTTTTGTTTCCGGTTGTTAATTATTTAGATTGACTAGAAAGATGATTATTGTCGCTAAGAAAGGAATAGGAATTGAGGAGGGACACTGATTATGAATACAGTGGTCTTTAGTGCTGTTAGAGGTTGCTGATTGACTCATTGTCGCTACTTCATCCTTTGTAGGAATAACAAGTACTTTCACATTTGACTGACAATTTTTTTACTGAAATTACTCAGCTGTTTGATATTATGTTGCCTCGTGAATCGTAAGTAGGTAGTTTAACTCAGCCGTAATGAATAATGAGCTGATGTTTAATATCCTAAGTGGTCATTCATTCAGTTACAACGTAGGACCAGGCACACACATGCATCGGTCCAAGTTGCCACACCTCATTAGCACAGCGAGGCGAACACCGGATTCATAGAAGCAGTTAACTCAATGGTGTAATATATAAAGGAATGATTTTATGTAAGGATGTAGTACAGAAAGAAAGATGTGAAATAACTTTGGTCTCATAGTTAAAGAGTGTATACACCGACGCCATTGTGGTCGATTCTGAGCCATGTCACCAAGAGTCTCCAACCATTGGTTACGATAGTCACGCAGACCCCAACCAAGAAGTCTGCATCTACCAGCATGGCTCAGACTAGAGGTTAGTGTCTTCAAGCACTGATGTCACGTTTTGTTTTGGCGGCCCCTAACTTTTTTCCAACCATCTCCAACACCGGTTAGCATTGCACGTCGTGGTAATCGGTGTTCAGGCATACGTAACACGTGGCTCAACCATCTCAGTCGATGAAGATACCACCATTTCCTAATACCCTGCATCTAACCTCACTATTACTTACCCGATGATCCAAGCAGATGCGACCAATATTTCTAAGGCATCTGTGGTCAAATATTAGTAACTTACGAGTATATTCTACTCTTGATGGCCATGCTTTGCAGCCGAAAAGTAAAACAGAACGGACTGCCGCGCAGTATACTCGTCCCTTAATTGATAGATGGATATCTCACCTTGGCCATAGGTGACGTCAGTTGGCAAACGCCAAATGAGCTTTTCGAATCTGTGCTGAGATTTCGTCAGACACCAACCCATTAAGGCTGATCATTCTTCCAAGATAAATGAAGTTTTCAACTCATTCGACAACTTCACTCCCTATCTTTAGTTCAGGTATTGACGCAGACCAGTCCTGAATCAACAACTTGTATTTAAAGGGGGAGAAGCGCATCCCAAACATTTTGGGATTTCTGCTCAGTGCTACTAAAAGATTCTGCATTTTATCAGCGTCATCACCAAACAGGACTATGTCATCTGCGCATTCCAAGTCGATAAGTGGACCTCCTGGAAGGAGATTAATGCCACAGAACTCAGTAGACGAGAACGTTATTTCCATCAGTATGTCTATGATGAAGTTGAACAAAAATGGAGAAAGTGTACAGTCTTGACGTACACCACTTGAGGTTGCAAAATCAGATGACAGCTCGCCATAAGCTCTGACTCGACTGGTAGTGTTCGAGTAGAGAGCCTTCACAAGGTTTATGTACTTCTGAGGTACACCTTTCAGTGACGGACACTGCCACAGAACCTCTCGCTCTACAGAGTCAAATGCTGCTTTTAAGTCAAGAAAGACCACCATCGTCGGACGCCGATAAGTATGCCTGTGTTCTAGAACCTGAGTAATGGTGAGTACGTGGTCGATGCAGCCACGACCAGGTCTGAAGCCAGCTTTAGTCTCCCGTGTTTGCAGTTTACGAGTCTTAGTTAGGCGTCTGATAATTGTCGAGGCTAGTATTTTAGATACTATATTAGTCAAACTAATCCCTCTATGGCTATCACTGGATGATTTTGATTCCTTCGTATATGTCGGGACAATAAGTGATTGCGACCAATCAGATGGGATTACATCCAACTCCCAGATCTTAGCTAAAATATTAGTCAACCCAATCGCTAAAATTGGACCACCATCCTTAAACACCTCTGGAGCCAATCCATCTGGACCAGCTGCCCTTCTTCGTTTCAGATTAACTATAGCCTTTTGAACTTCTGCTAGAGTTGGGGGACCTACTTCAATGTTCCATTCACACTGTCTGGGAATGGAGGGTATATGTTGCAAAGAAGAAAGCCTACATTTCATTTTTCTAAAATATTGAACTGAATAAAAAGAAATCTTTCTGAACTATTGTTCAAATACCAATTGTACTAAAAACTTGTGACTAAAAGCTCTATCGTGACAAACCTGTCATGATGCGTATATAACAACAGGGACTGATTGGTTTTAGCGCCAAACATCACCAAGGCTAAGGTATAAACTCTTACTAATACCATCTTAGCCAAAGACGTTGGTGATCATCCGGTCTCAGTGGTTTAAATGATAATGTTATTTGAAGCGAAAGTTATTGGACTTGAATAACAGTGTGAACTTCAACTCTCGAACGTAGGTAAATCTAACTGACAAATTTCAAATAGAATGAGATACGTTTCTTGGATTCTATTGTTAGTTACATACCAGATATACTAAAGCGTTTAGATATTTATTTGAAGTTAAGTGCCAGTAGAATAAAAAAAAGCGGATTAACTTTTATTCATGCACATTCTTCTGCACTTGTTACCTTTGGTGTATTAAGTTTCATTCCCCACAGATTTCCAATTGTTCTTTAGATGAAGTCAGTCTGTGATGGAAACTAACTTCACAAAAAACAAACCTATTCATCATCTTTTTTAAGTGAAGACTTATGGGTTGAGTAAATTCCACAAAGTGGTATTATCCCATTTTTATTCTTTACTTGTACTTTGTGAAAAATAGTTTATTACTCACATCACTTGTTAATAAACAAACAAACAAACTTCTCTATCAACTGAAAACCTTCCCTGGGTTCGAGTCCCGCGTGTGCGCTGCTGAGGGGTCCCATACTGGGACGAAACAGCTGTCCAATACTCCTTGGTTTTCACTCGTGGTCTAGCTTAGATCTACTCATGAATTCGACTATTAAAATTACTACAATCTCTACGAACTCCCATTCTGATAAAAAAATTGTCGTCTATAATTTTAAGTTTCCAAGTAAAATCATCTACGTTAAAATCAAAATTTAATATTAAATAATCTTAACTAAGTCTGAACAGAAAATCGAAATTAAAATCTATGGCTTTGTCCAAGTGATTATAAATTATAAGTTATATTTTTAAGAATATCATTACTCAAATCGCTTCAAAATCCTAGATCTGCCATCACCACTACTAGATC